TCCTTTCTTCTTACTATTTTCCGCCACTGATTTTGCTTCTTCTTATTCTTCTTCTTCATAAGTTTGACAGCCGCCATTAACGAAGCTTCTTCTTCCTCCTTCTGATCCTGATCCTGATCCTGCTCCTGCTCCTGCAACTTGACCTATTTCCGGATCTTTATTATAATCATTAAATGATTTTGGGATCAGAAAACTGTTTTCTGTCTTCAACCCTAAGAACCCAGTTGAGACTTGTCCGCCATGAAAGTTGCTGTTGAATACCTGTGAAGAATTCGCCGCCATGTGAGTAGGTGTAGGGTAAACTGGTGAAGATCCAGTGGATGAACATGGAAAAAACATTTGATAGCTCTCCATGTGTGTCTATATATATGTCAAGCCACTGTAAATATATGTATGTGTGTAAGTATATATCTGTTTATATATTAAGAAATCTAAGAAGATTAAGAAGAAGAAGAAGAAGATCTAGAGAGAAGGATTAAGAGGTAAACCCTTGTTGGCCAAATAGCAAATTGATCAGCCTTTTGTAGTATTTGTAGGTGGGAAGAAAAGACAGAAAAATCCAAAGAGGTATATACATGTATATACATATATTTATTTTATATATATATACGTGTGTGTGTGAGAGGGTTTAGAAAATGTTTCGTAAACGGCACGAAAATTTTCTTAATCCGAAGAAACTATTAAATTATCTATTCGGTCCTTTACTTTGACCTTAATTACAATTTTAAGTGTTAATATTTTTAAGTTATTTTTTTAATTTAAAATTTTCAAATTATATATTTTTTTCATATTTTTTTGGATTTAACAATTTTAAATTATTTACTATTTATGTCGATTTAATCAATTTTTTTCCAAATAAAATTTTAATTAACTCAATTAAAATGAAATTAGACTCTGGGATCGGTTGAATTTTTAATTAATTTTAGAAATAATAATCAATTTAAATGAAAATAAACTTTTTATTAGAAATAAACTAAAATATATATAATTAAATATATACATAGATAGATATCGCCGTACAAGAAATATGTGTATTAGCTTCATCAGCGCGCGGATTGATTAGATAAAAAGTATGGTGCAATTGGAAAGTGGAGCTGGCGGCTTCATCATTAAAGAGGAAAAAAGACATATACATGCATATATATATATATATATATGTACCAAACCCACATAAATATTATTTAAAAAATTGCTGAAAATTTTCTAGCTTAGTTTGAAGCTACCAGAAGAGGTTGAATCATGCCTTTGAATTCATGATATCACACGTGTATATACATACATTTTATATACAGAACATATATAGCGTTCATCTTGGACTACCTGCAAAATTCTTCTGTTGCTATTTTAATGAAATATTTTTCTAATAAAAAGTTCCAAGTACATATATATGTACAGGTGTATGCATATATAATCTGGTGGGCGCAAAAAGTTGTGTGGTGGTAATGCATGTCTGCGTCTTTGTAGCCGCGGATATATATATATATATATATATATATATGTCCGATAGAGAGTTTCCATGAAGGTCACCTTTAATGGTGAATGCACTTGGCTTCACTTTATGCTACACCTGTCTTCATCCATTTCTACTATAATAAATTTGACTATTTGACTGCATTTCCATTTATATATATATATATATATGTGTATGTATATATATATATATATAGTATTTATATTTATCTTCTCGCTGATTTTAGTCAATATAGGATCTGCATATTGATTGAACAAATATAAATTGATTAATTTAGTAAAGTTAATAAAATATATATTAACTAATATAAAATTAAAATTCAACGAGTATATATTTTACTATAGAAAAATAGATTATCATAATCTTCACCACCTAAACGCTAATATTCTCATTAAAATAGTACATTATATAATCAAAAATACTAAATTAAATTTTTTAAAAAAACAATTAATAATATATTTTTTTCAATATGAAACTTATATATTACGATCTCTATTATCTAAACTATTAACATTCTTATCAAAATCGTACATCATATAATTACAAATATTAATCACATTTTTTTTATACGAAATTAGATTATTGCAATTTTCATTGCTCAAATTCTTAATGTTATCATCAAAATCATACATTACATAATTATATATACTAATTGTATGTTTTTTCAATACGAAACATGGATATTACAATCTTCGTTACTTAAACTATCAAAGTAGCATATTGCACAGATCGTAAAAATTAGTTACATATTTTTTTTTTATATAAAACTAAAATATCATAATTTTCGTTGCTCAAACCATTAATGTTCTCGTTAAAATCACACATCACACAATCACAAATACTAATTGCATTTTTTCAATATAAAATTGGGATATCACAATCTTCAGTACCCGAACGATTGAGATTCTCGTTGAAGTTGCACACTATATAATAACAAATACTAGTCGCACATTTTTTCGATATAAAATTAGAATATTACAATTTTTACTATTTAAATCATTAATTTTCTAGTCAAAGTTGTACGTAAATATTACTCGAATAATTTTTCGATATAAAACTTGGATATCACAATCCAACCACTCTATATGGTCACATCAAATAACCATAAATACTATTCAAACTAATTACTATTTATAAATATTCTGTAGACACATTCTTTTTTATATATCATTTTACTTTTCAAATTAAACAATATATATATATTATCTCGTAAAATTGGGAAAATAATTAATGATTTATATAAAAAATAAATTTATCAAGAACATGTGAGTTTGAATTTTTGAAAAAGTGGACCGAAAGCCTCCTTCCTGGTTATCTCCTGGGCGCAGCCCTTCTTCACAAATTGGAAAAAAAGCAAAAGGGAAATTTATGATCTTTCTTTCTTCTTCAATGTCCCACAGAATTTTTTGGTCCATCTGATTTTTCAAAATAACTTTGAAATGTCAAATACCCACTCCATACAAACTCATTAATTTACTAATTCCATTAATTATTTTACTTTTAAAATTAAGTCCAATTTTTAAATATATTATAAGAAACTTAACTCTCTCTCTGCATAAAATATAATATATAATTTTGGAATGCTGATAGGATCTCCTCGGTTAATTAAGTCGCTAATGATTCTTCTCTATTTATTTCTAAAACTTAGATTTTTGTTTGTTTTCATTTCTAGTTTTTGATGAATTTTTCAGTACCTATCAAATTTTATATCTCATTAAATTTACGGCTCAAGCGCGCCATAGTGTGAGCGAAATAAGCATGTTATTGGGTGGATCCATACGAGGTCGGAATCTCTGGTAGATTACTAAGAAAATTGTATAAAAATAACATTTTGATCTCAAATTCTTTTAATCTAATTCGTTCAAATTCGATCTTATATATTTTTTTTAGATTTAGATTTGAGTATTGAAATCTTTCAAAACTCATTCCAACTTAATTTATAAAGGTTCGAAACTTAAAATAAACGCATTTATATTTAAAATGTGAAAACAAATAATAAAGTTAGGGTTTTTATTGATTACACAATAAATTATAGTTTCCTACGTCTGGTTCTTCTTTTCTGACGATGGCTGAGCGGCTAGGGTTAGGTTCTCCTGCAAATAGGAGTTTAAATACTTCTCTTTTCTTCGATCCACGTCGTCTGTTTGTGTCAACGTGAAGTTAGGAGGATCGTTCGATAATTTTTTGTTTAGGCATATGGCATAGACGAATTTGGAACGTTCATCACGATTCATCCCGTCCGTCCGATTGCATTTAAAGAGGAAATACATTTAGACCATTCACGTGCGCAGGATGAGGTCTGGATCGTCAGATTGCCAGAAATGCGGATCGCTCATGTGGCTTCCCGCGTGGTGTCGATGTCAGCCTGCCTGCGATGTAGCGTGCTATGATTCACTCGGATTGTTAAATGGGCCGTCTCACGTGGTCAAACTTTTTTTTTACAATTTAATTTTATATTTTTAATTTTTTTTAAAAAAATCTCTTAAAATTAAAATTTTACTATTTTTTTTAAAATTATTTCAATTTTAATTATAGTCAATTTTTTTTTATCAAAAATTCACTAAAATTAAATTAATTATTTATATAATTTTTATAAATAAAAAAATTATACCGAATCATAATGTATTAGATACGTGTATATAAATACCTATTTAATTTATCATTATTATTAGTATTATGTAGTGTTGAACGATGAGATTGGAAGCATCCCTTTCAATTTCAATTTCACTTTTCAATAGTCAAACGTCACGTTTCTTACATCATGGTAGAGAAAAATTAGGTATGTTGACAAAAAAAAAAAAAAAAAAAAAGGAGAAATCAAGAAATATTATTCTTGTGGTTTAAATAATTATACTCTTTGGATTGTAGTAAGACCAGGGTGTTTTGTTCAAACGTAAAATCATTGTATACATAGATAGATGGGTGCATCCCCCCTTTGGAAAATAATGAATTTAATTAATGTCAGAATTTTGAAAATGATAGATATATGTGCATGAAATTAAAATTTTTATAATACCCATATTACTCTTTCTTTAAATTATTATTATTTTTTTTAATTTTATCTTAAATTATGACACAATATATAATATACAATATATTTTTTTATTAAAACTAAATATTTAATTTAATAAGTCTATGTTGATCAAAAGTAAACTTAATTTTATAAGTTTTCTTTGTTGGCAACAATGGGTAAATTTTTACATTCGTGTATTATTTTTTTACTTTTTAAATGTATTATAAATAAATTAATATTTAATTTATAATTTTTGATTTAGTAAAATTAATCTCTCAACCAAAATAATATTTTGAAATGATTAAATTTTTTTTGAATTGGGATAACCAGGCTAACACATAATTCAACCTTTTTTTAAATTTAAAAATTATTAGAAAATTTTGAAAAATTCTAGCTAAATTATATATATATATATATATATATATGTAGTGTTTTTTTTTTCTTTATTTTGAAAGAGAAAAAATGGTAGGTTGGATCTTTCACCCACTATGATTATTCCAACTAAAAAAAATTAATTGTCACAAAATAATTTTATTTCCTGAAAAAACGCAGTAACTTCACTCAAATTTAATTTAATTTGATCACAGCTGTCCTAATAATATACTAATTAATTAAGCCTCTAATTTTACTAAATATATTTACAGTCTTAATAAATAATAAAAACTTTCGATTAGTCAATATAAGGACAAATCTGCTTGTCAAAAACAAGTCATTAATTTTTGTAACATAAAACTGAAGAGAATTACAATTTTACACTCAGATTAAAGTAAAATTTTATTAATTGGACATTTAAAATTTTAATAAAGCAAACAATAATTACAGCCAAAACTGTATTCTCTCTTAGTTGTGGAAACATATATATACATACATATATATATATATATCAGTGTATCAGAAGATATCTCTTACTGTTGCTTCTAGATTATTTTTTGATTAGGTAAAATCCTATTTAGACAAACAAAATCATTATTATATTCTTATTGTAAATTTTGGTTGCAAGAATCCACCAGACTTCTCTCATGTATCTGGTTTTTCTTAGTTTGGAATAATACTTTTTTTAATTCAAAAAAACCGAAGTATTTTTTTTTTTTTTAAATTTTAGATATATTTTGTATAATAATGAACAAAGCAGAAAAGCAAAATTCTCATTCCATCACACAGAAGTAATATTCTGAAATGTATAAGAATCTAAACACTTAATTCATTATTGTGATGCTGGGTTTTAAGTAATCAAGTTGGGATAAATCTCAACATGATTCAACCAAGTCATTTTTAGTTTTTCATAAGATCTATTGAAAAAAAGTGGATAATTCAATTTCATCAGATTTACCCGAATGACTTACTACATATAGGAGCGCATCCGAGGCCTTGTCAAAGACTGACCACCATCAACAAGAACAATTGTACCTGTCATATATCGAGAATCATCACTGATAAAATAGATAATCGAAGAAGAGAGATCGTTGTTAACATCAAGCCATCTCTCAAGTGGTGCAGCATCCTTCACGAACTTCTCTGCTCTCTCCTTCCCTACCATCTTTGGGTATTCATCATCCAGGTGCAACCCGCGGGAAATGGCATTAACCCGGATGTTGTACTTTCCGATGTCAATGGCCGATGTCTAAGAAGAGTAATCAGGAGGGTTAGGTATTAGCAACCAAATCTGAATATATAGAATTGGGATGTCAAATAATGTCTGCAGAACATGGCCTGCAACGAAACCAAATAGCTTATCGAGGCAGTAATGTAACAGTGTTCCTAGCCGAGGGTTATGATGATCTGGAGGCATAATGCCATTAGCAACTTTGTCAGTAATCAGTAATCTTATGAACATCACAAAGTTAGGTGATGGTGTCTCCGAGGCACCATATAGAAACCCGACAAAAGAGCTTATTGCTCGAAAAACCTTTAGTAACTAATAACCCTGTAGCTTAAAGTCATTGTGTTTGTTTTATCAGTAATCAGTAATCTTATGAACACCACAAAGTTAAGTGATGGTGTCTCCGAGGCACTATATAGAAACTCAACAAAAGAGCTTTTATTGCTCGAAAAACTTTTAGTAACTAGTAACCCCGTAGCTTGAAGTCATTGTGTTTGTTTTGGCTTCTGCATAGTCAATGCAGCAGCCTTGAGAAAGCCCAAAAGATTTAGCATTCAAATCCACGTATAGAAAGCCTGAAAATGTAGAGAGAGCCACCTAGAAGAACTTATTACTAACTAGTAACCCAGTAGCTTTAAGCCATTTTCTGTTTGGCTTCTGCTTAATCAATGCAAGGACAACCAGAAAAAACCCAAACAAAGAGCAGACTACTTCAACTGATTTCATCTGTTTGCCTTCTGCTTGACCCATCAATAAGCAGCCTAGAGAAAGCCCAGACAAACAGTAGTGAGTGGACAAGTAGCTTAAATTTGATGGTGTCTGTTTGGCTTCTGCTTAACCAATGAAGAAGCAGCTTAGAGAAAGCACAAACAAGTAGTAGAACTATAACTTGGGCCTAGCTTAAGCTGAAGGCCCCAAACCCATAAAATGCAAACCATCAAATGTCTTCTTTGATAAATAAATTTATCAATGAGATAGCTGTGTAAGTTCATGTTTCAACTTTTGCAGACAAAAATTTCTCCGACTACCAGGACCAAAGGGACATCCACTAAGCATATACAGGTCCCATGATACTGTTCATTTCATCTATAGCTATAATCTAACAGAACGATAGAAACTTTACTTTGCTCGGTCCACAGGACTACAAATCCCACTAGCAATAGCTATAGATTATTGAAAAAAGGACAACAAATTCACTTCTGATCTACTATTTTTATAACAATGACTTATATTCATGCAAATAAATCAACAAAAAGTTCTGCTATAGCTCTTTTTTTTTTGTAACAAAAAATAATGTGTTTAGCCTTGTAATTCTGCATAATCTGAAAAACATGTAAATGTAATATAAAAAACTAAGGAGATTATGTAATTACTAAATGACTTAACAAATCCTAGTTTATACATTTCTAGTCCCATGCTCTGGTAGCTCAGGAGATAAGTTAACGCTTTTGCATAAAGTGATATTAAAAGTCAACTTGGAGCACCTAGATCGAGAACTAGAAGTTTATTTGTGTTGTTCAATGAGATAACAACTCAATTTGTTATGTAGCTTGGAGGCAAAACTTTTTTTTTTCTTTGAAATAACTTGGACGCAAAACATAATATTCAAAGAGCAACGGGACTGTTACCGAATAACTTACCCTGACCAACTGATGAAGTCCAGCCAAACATGAACCATAAGCAGCAAATCCTGGATAAAGCCCTCTCTCAGCACCAATTATCGAAGTCAAGAATATAATGGAGCCTCCGGTCTGATGATCCCTCATTCTTTTCGCAACAGCCTTTAAAAGAAACCACCCAGCCATGAAATTTATTTTTGTTATCTTTTTGAACTCATCTCCATCTAATTGCAGAAGATTCTTCATCTTTCCTGTTTCACATTGGCAAGATGTTAAATTGGCATACTTCCAACTATATTGCAGCCAATTTGAATCTCATATTCATAGTGATTACCGATGGAAGTTAAATGGGCAAAAAAGAGAATATAAAGCATGCGTAATACATGGAGTCCTGCAATTAGTCGTAGTCCAAGAAATTAACCATGACATACTAAGGTTGCCTTTCACTCAATACTTATTCAATTCCTAGTCATATTCTCAGTTGTAATCTTCATATCATCTTTAATATGATTGATTCCTTTACCTGGGTGGTGGTAAAACAATAAATTATTCCTTTAATGGTTGGAATGTAATTCCTGTTTTCGAATAAAGGGATTGACTTTTCACCATTAAGGAACTCAATATGGAATGATGATAATAAAAAAATCCAACAAATTGTGTTCTAATTATGCATATTAAGACACGTGTGAGAATTAGAACCAATGGTTCATTAAAAATTGAACCAGAATTGAACCAAATGGAGAGTACCTATAGTAAGCAAATACGAAAAGGATAGCATGTAAGGTCAGAAAATCCTGATCTACAAACAAATGTAGGCAAGAATTAAGTATCTTAAATCACAGGTTGTCGCAGATTATATTCATTACCCAAATCATCTCTTGAATAATCATGAGTTAAGTAATGCCAAAACCACAAAGAAAACATGAAATGCTCACAAATTTTCCAAGAAAATCAGGAATTCTTAGTGATGAAGCAGTACTTTCAAAACTTCCTAGTTAATAATCATTATTAATATATATATACAAATAAGTCATATCAACTTCTCAGTTAACAATCACACAGCCCAAAAGGTTTTTACCTTCATATGTGTAACCATGGACAAAAGCATCCAAATGGCCCAAAATCCCACATGCCTTGTCCACAGCGTCATCAAAAACTCCTTCCTTCTCCTCTTCCATATCCACTCCAACCACCTCTACTGGCCATACATCTTTCTCTGAGTCCATGATCTTATCCCTAACTATTCTCAAACAGTTCTCATTGCCCATCAAAACCAACCTAAACAAATCAATCATTATCAGATCAAAGCATTGGTCAACTCATCCCTATGGTTAATTGATTAATTTTCTTTTCCATTTTCTCGGGAACCAAACAATACTATAGTTCAGAATCTTAGAGTTAACCTGCATCCCCGTTTGGCTAAAGTGAGAGCAATATTCTGCGATACATCATCTCCGTTCGAGGTCATCAAAACTCTCTTCACTGAATTTGCCATTGACAAAACCACCTGCACATCAAAATCAAAGACCCCCATTACTATTAACCCACATAACCAAAAAGCAGATTTCGATTTAGAAAAAAAAAAAAAAAACCCCCACCTAAGGAAAAAGAATAATACGTTTCGAACTCCTGCCAAACCGAAAGAGAGCGCGGCGGAAATATAATGAAGAGCAGGGAGAGAGAGAGAGAGACAAATACGAAAAAGAAAACTAGAAACAACTAAAAAATAAATAAAATCTCCTATTGTACTTGTCTTTCCCTATACGTCAAATGAACTCTTCAGATGTCTTTTACGTCGGCTCGAGATGCTATAACCCGCCTTCTGGCATGCGGTGCGAAGCCAACAAAGCAGTGAATCAGTGTATGAGAAATGAAAAATAATCGGGTGTGACTGGCACAAAGTGCTTCCTTCACTTTTGCCACGTGTCTTGTTTTTATTGGATTTAAACGATTTTTTTAATCGTTGACCATGGTAAAAAGGGCCAGTGAAAAAGGCACGAATCAGTGGTGACGGTGAGTTGGTGGTGGCTGATCGACTCGGATCATAGTGCTGACCTGAGGTCTGCTTGACAAGAATCTCCCAACCTACCTCCTAGTGTCAACACAATTTAAATTTTAAATTAATTTTTTTAATAAATAAAATACGATATATGATTTTTAGTGCAACATTACTATCATATTTAAAAAGATTTAGTTGTTAAAATATTCTGAATAGTGGTATGTTTTTAAACATAGTTTAATTTATTTATTGTAATCATAAATATTAATAAATTAAATTATAAACTATAATAAATTTTAAGTATTATGGGTTTATTGTAGTTAACTCGTATCACATCCAATTCTTCAATTAAGGATGGTCCTCGGATGGGTTACACACACTCATTAGCAAACATGAACTCAAGCGGTTATGTGCATATATTGTAACGATGCGAAACTTGAAATGAAATAAAAATATGAATTGAATGTAGAAACGGAATAATAAAATTAGTATTTATATTTCTTACATAATAGTTTAAAATACTTCAATAAGGCTATAAGAATGTTCATTCTAAAAGAATAAATAAAAATTAAAGAAATAAACAAAAAGTAAATAATTAAGCATTATAAGATGACTTTCACTAGTTTTTGAAAGAGTCTCGGTGATGAATTATTCAAAACCCTTTATTAATCGGGATCTAGATTTTCATCCCCTTAATCTGAAATAGTTAATGAATGGGTGAGTTACACTAGACTAGTAAACATATCACACAACTCACCAATATATAAATTGAAAGTTGGTAAAAATCATAAAAACAACCAATAGAATTCTTAATTTAAGTAAATTCATTTATCATAAGTAAAACTATTTATTGCATACTTACCGTTACGAGATTTCCAAAACTGACCTATAGAAACAATAGCTCAACAACATTATAATCTCATATTCAAGTAAGCAAGAATAACAATTTTCTATTTTTATTTGTCTACTAATATCCATTGAGGTCCATAGGGATGTCCCACTACGCGTGAACCAACATCAAACATTGTCAACTAACTGTTCCCCTATACCCCATCCGATATGAGTGCTAAAAATATCATCCCTCAATACTACGTTTGGTATGAGAGCGAAACGGCTATCTCCATACCCCATCCGGTATTAGCGCTAAAAATACAAAATCTTGATACCCAGTCCGGTAAGAAGTGATGTTCATAGTAGAGTTCCCTATGTATCCGGTCCGTTCACCATCTCTCAGATATCCAGTAAAGCTACCCATTCATTCACTTAAATCAATCAAATTTTTATTTACATTTAACTTTTAGTTTCACAATTTAACCGTAATCAAACGCAAGACAAACAATACATGCATCAATGAAACACAACTGAATCATTTATCAATTCGAGTATATTATCATGCATTTAAAGTTGTAAAATCAAACAATCGGTTAAATAAAACAACAATAATAAATAACTGATTTTGGTTCAATTAATAACCTATAATTAATTCTCGAAGTTTTCTAAATTATACAAAATATCGTATTATTGATAATTAAACTTTAATTCCATAACAAGGAATAAGGTGAGGGATTCTTACATGAATCGGTATTCGAAACATCAAACTTTCATGTAACGACCCTAGAAACATCCAAATGAAATAAATGATAATTAAAGTGCATAAGTGAAATAAATGTTAAAGGTTTACATTCCTCATATAATAACTTAAAGTACAAAATAGTGTTACGAAATTCACCATTTAGAAAGAAATACAAGAAATAAAGAAATGAAAGGAAAATAAAGAAAACTAACATTTTACTCGCAATTCTCTTATGGATTGGGTTCTAAATCCTGGTACTCTTGATATGAAATGATTAAATAATTGATGAGCTACACTAGTCGAATAAGAATATCACACTATATCACTGACACAAAAATGAAAATTGATAGAAAATAAAAAACAACTAATTGAGTACTAAATTAAGCAAATTCATTTATCAATAATAAAATCATTTACCGTCTATTTACCGTAGTGAGATTTATAGAAAATAATAACATTATATATATGTAACACCCCAAATTATTATTATTTTTATTAATATTATTTTATTGTATTTTAAATTTTATTGTAATTTATTATGTAATAATATATGTTTTTAATTTAGTTTAATTTAATTAAATAGAAATAAAAGTAATAATAATAATAAAAAGAGATAAAATTATTTTTGGGATTTAATTGAAAATAATTTTGGAAAAAATTGGTGAAAATTTGGGTTATGAGGGTGTTTTTGAAAAAAAAAATCGAAAATTGGAGGTCAAAACGCAATTTAAAAAAATTGTGCCACATTAACAGCCCGGTCAGAAGCCCCGGCCAACCAGGACACGCCGTGTGATAGAGACACTGACGCGGGAGGCCACGTGGAAGGGAGGCATGTGGGCGATCCGCGTGTATGCGATTGAACGGCTGAGATCCGTTCCCGTGCGCACGGACGACCCAGATCAAAAGTGCGTATGGACGGCCTAGATTGCATGCGTACATACAGCTCAGATTGAATCGCGCATGGACGGCACAGATTGTATCGCGATGAATGACCCATATTAATTTCTAATTTAATCGCGATCGGACGGCCCAAATTAAATCGCGATAGACGGCTCAGATTAAAAGCGAAAGGTTATAAATAATATCATCCACACCCGAACCCTAACCATAGCCGCTAGAGCCTTCGCCAGAGAAGACAGCCCAGCCACCGAAGAACCGACCGCCGCCACCCGCCGCCGCACCAGAGCACTTTCTGACTACCAAACGAGGTAAAAATTCTCCCATTGACTTAAATTTCGATTCTAAACCCACATGTGGCCAAATCAGAGGCAAAACGCTGGCCAATTGGTCGAAAAACGTTGTCGAAGCCCAGCGACGCCGCCACAGATTTTTTCAGTTTTTACCTCTGATGAGGCCCTTATCGATTCCCGTTCGATGTAATTTTTACACCATTGTGACCACCGTTCCTTTCTCTGCAGGTTGACCCAATCAAAACACCAAATCGCGACTTGAGCCGGAGGAACTGCCGCACCGGAGAGCCCCGCTGCTGGTAAGTTTTGATTTTCAGTATTTTTTCGGCCCACCGAGGGCCCTAGGAGTGTTTTATCACATGAACCAATGCAAGTTTAGTCGAATCCGGCCGAAAATGGTCAGAAACGGCCAACCCGAGGTGGATCGCTGCCACGTTGCCGGAGCACGGTGGAGTCGCCGTGCCGGAATTCTGAAATTGGCCGAGTAGGCCCTGGGTCTGATTTTGAGTCATTTGGGGTCATGTGCAAGTACCGTAAGTGCGTTTCAGTTCATGTAAAAAAAATTTAGAGAATTTAGGGATTGCCCGTAGGCGCAGTGAAAAACTGATTTTAGACTTCGAATCAAGTAAGGATCCCTCACCCTATTTCCTATCGTAGAATTAGAGTTCAATTAAATGAAAATATCGTACCTTTGCAATTAGTAGATATGTATAATTAATTGAGGTATCTAATGGAGCCTGAATCTAAAATATTTTTCGGTTAGTTCCTGTTTTATTTATTTTATAGTTTTAAATGCGTTACGGTATGTGACTTATTTATTTTATGGTTTCGGATGCATGAATCACGGCTTACTTCACTGTTGCTTGATTTCATGGATTTAATGTATGCTTACCTTATTGAATGCACGTGCTTGTTTAAGTGTTCATGTTTATGTGAGAAACAGAAAACTAAGAAAAGAATAGAAAAGGGTATGTGAATTGATAAATGGACAAGTTGACAGCCTCACTAGATATCCTGAGAGATGATGAACGGACTAGGTCCATAGGGAACCCTACTGGGAACGTTGTCTCATATCGGACGGGGCATGGAGACTTTAAATATTCTGGTGCCCATACCGGACGGGGTATGGGACGGCCATGGAATTAAGTTGTTAAAGTTAATAGTTCACGTGTAGCAGGGACCCCTATGGATCCCCATGGATATTGGTAGGCTTATAAAATAAAGAAATTGTTATTTGATTATTGAAAAATAAAAGTATGACATGTGCTATGTTACAGAGTATATATGAATTCATGATATCTTTGACGTTATTGTTTCTATGCGTCATTTTCATAAATATCACCGAGATAAGTGGACAGTAAAGAGTTTTATTATTGATTAATGAATTTGTTAAAAATTGTGCTGCATTTGTCGTTTTTGTTTTTCTACCAACCTTTTACTTCTGTGACAGTGATATAGTATGACGTCTTTACTGAGCTAGTGTAGCTCATTCCTTACTTAACCATTTCAAATCAGGAAGACTTGGTTCCCGAGCCCATTCCGCAGGAAGACGGCGACTTCACCCGGGATTTTTGGTCAATCGGTCGGTTCTCTTGCTCCGATTTAGCCATTGGGGTGTTTAAAATTGAATTTCGAGCAAAACAAATTTTTTTTTACCTTTTTTGGCGGTGGGAAGTAACTCCGTCACGGTGGCGGCTGGCGGTGGCTCTCGTTCCCAGCGGTTGGGTCTTCTTCTCCGATGAGGGCGACTGGCGGCTAGGGTTATGATTTGGTGTGAAAATTGTTATTTATACTCGCTTATTTTTTATCTCGGCTATCCATCGCGTTTGATATGAACAATTTGATCGTGATTAAATAAGAAGTGAATATGAGCCGTTTATCGCGATCCAATATGGGTTGCCTATTGCATTCAAATATGACCGTCTGATTGCATTTAGAGAGGGAACACATCTAGGCCGTTCGTGAGCGTGAGAACGGATCTGAGCTGTTTGATCATGGGCACGCGGATCACTCGCGTGGCACCGCATTAGCGTCCGGTGCCACGCGACACGTTCTGGTTCGTCGAGATTGCTGATTGAACATCCTACATGGCAAAACTTTTTTAAAATGTATTTTGACCCCCGATTTCTAATTTTTCTTTTAAAAATACCCATATAACCCAAATTTTCACCAATTTTCTCCAAAATTGTTTTGAATTTCATCCCCACAAAATTTACTTCATTTTTTGCATTAAATTAAAATTAAAAAATCAAAAAATTATATTTATAATTAATTTAATTTACAATTAAATTAATTTTGGCATTACATTTCAGCTGCACCTATTGTCGGTCCCTAGATTCCTTGCATTTTTCAACGAAAATTAAAATACACTTCACGTACATAAAAATACTCCCAAAAAATTCAAAATTGGTGTTAAAAATATTTTTTAGTCAATTTCATAATTTCAGCATGGTGGCACCACCGTGCTTCGGCGACAGCACCATCGCTCAAAATGGTGATTTGCCTGGGACTGGCCATTTTCGACTAGTTTTTGCCGATTTTAGCCTATTTTATACTAATCATTGCCAGAAAACACGTTAGGAGACATCAGTTGGCCGAAAAAAGTTAAAAAATAAAAACTTACTAATTATAGAATTTTTCGGTGCGGCGGCTCCGCTGACTCACCTTCACAGCTGGACATTCGATCAATCTGTAAAAAACAGAATGGTGAACACAATAGTGAAAAAATCAAACAAAACAAGAAACGAGAAGGGGCTCATCGGAAGCGATTTTTGTTTTTGCATGTGGTAGTGCTGTCGGGCTTTACCCACAGTTTTCGGTTTATCCGCCATTTCTTTTGCTCTGATTTAGCCATAGGGGTGTTTGAAATCAAATTCCGTGAGGATAGAAGAATTTTTACATTTTTTGTCATTCGGAGGTGGCTCCAGAGTGGCAGCGGGCGGCGGTCGGCTCCCTTCTTCAATGACTGGTTCTTCTTCTTCGGTAGGGAGCTGGCGGTTAGGGTTTGGGTTCAGTATGATGTAATATATTTATACCCGTCTCCCTTAAATATGGATCATTCATCGCGTTTGATCTCGACCGTTCAATCGCGTTTAAAGAATAAATGAATCTGAACAGTTCATCGCGATTTGATCTGCACCGTACGATCGTATTTAAAGAGAAAACAAATATACATCGTTCATCGCATTTAAATTAAAGAAAGTTTTAATACTATATTAATTCATCTTATCTACTTTATTTTTTTTATTTTAAAATTTGTTAACGAATAAAAATATGTTAATTTTTTTAATATGTTATAATTATCTTAATTTTAAAAAAAATTAACTTATAATAAAATCTAATGTATGAATAATATAATTTTTTAGATTATATTTGTAACACCCAACCTTTCTCTTTTTCTTTTTATTTATTTATTTTTATATGAATATAATTATTTTTTATGTAATTTTAATTTAATATAATAATAATAATAATAATAATAATGGGTAAAATTTATTTAGGGATTTAATTGAAAACAATTTTAGAGAAAATAGGTGAAAATTTGGTTATGGGGGTATTTTTGAAAGAAAAATCGAAAACCCAATGGTCAAAATATAATTTAAAAAAGTTGTGTCATGTCAGCTGTCCGGTCAGCAGCCCTGACCAATCAGGACGCGCTAGGTGGCAGAGATGCTAACGCGGGAGGGAGCCACGTAGGTGATCCGCGTGCGCGCAATCGAACGGCTGAGATTCGTTCTTGCACGCAATGACGGCCCAGATCAAAATGCGTACGGACGGTCCAGATTGAATCACGCACGGACGACCCAAATTGAATCGCGATGAACAGTCCAGATTCAATCTCTATTTAATCGCGATCGGACGGTACAGATTAAAAGCGATGGACGGCTTAGATAAAAAACGGATGGGTATAAATAACGTCATTCGCATCCAAACCCTAACCCTAGCCGCTAGAGCCACTCGCCGGAGAAGACAGCCCAGTCGTCGGGGAGTCGATTGCCGCCACCAGCCGCTGTACCGAAGCAATTTTCGACCGCCAAACGAGGTAAAAATTCTACCATTTGCTTAGAATTTGATTCTAAACCCACCTATGACCAAATCAGAGCGAAAGCACCGGCCAATTGACTGGAAAACGCCGCCGAAGCTCAGCGGCGCTGCCTCGGGGTGTTTCGATTTTTGCCTCCGATGAGACCATTTTCGATTCCCGTTCGATGTGATTTTTTTCACCGTTGTGATCAACGTTTCCTCCTCTACAGGTTGACCGGAGCAAAATATCCAACCGCAACGTGAGCTGGAGGAGCCGCCACACCGGAGAGCCCCACCGCCGGTGAGTTTCAATTTTCTACGTTTTTCCAGCCCACCGAGGACCCTAAGTGTGTTTTCTCACAGGAACCGATGCAAGTTTGGCTGAATTCGGCCGAAAACGGTAGAAAACAGCTAACCCCAGACGAATCTGGCGGCGGCGCCGCTTGAACACGGTGGAGCCGCCGTGCCGGAATTTTAAAATTGGTCGAGTAAGCCCCGGGTCTAATTTTTGGGTTGTTTGGGACATGTGTAGGTACCGTAAGCGCGTTTTAGTTCCCAATGAAAAATTCAGGGAACCTAGGGATCACCCGTAGACGCAGTGACAATTTAGTTTTCGGCGTCAAATCAAGTAAGGACTCCTCACCCTATTTCCTATCATGGAATTGAAGTTTGAATAAATGATAATACTGTATTGTGTACAAATTAAATAAATATGCATAATTAATTACGATTGCTATTGGAGCCCGAATCGGACATTATTCTCTGTCGATTTCTGTTTGATTTATTTTACAGTTTAAATGCATTATAGTATCTGGTTTATCTATTTTATGATTTTAAATGCATGTATCACTGCTTACTTCACTATTGTTTGATTTTGGAAATCTAAGATATGCTTACTTTGTTGGATGGACGTTATTTGTTTATGTATTTATGTTTGAGTTGGTAACGGAGTCTAAAGACAAATAGGAATGGGATGTGATTTGATAAATGGATAATGTGACAGTCTCACTAGATATATTGGGAGATGGTGGATGGACCGAGTTCATAGGGAACCCTACCGTGAATGTTGTCTCATACCAGTGGGGTATAGAAACTTGGTAATTTGGCGCTCATACCGGACAAGATATGGGGACGACCCGCTTCACCCTCATACTTGATGGAGTATTAAGGTTTATTATTTTGGTGCTCATATCGGACGGGGTATGGGGACAACCCTGAAATTAAAATTGTTAAGATGAATGGTTCACGTGTAGCGGGGACCCTTATGGATCCCCATGGATACTAGTAGGCTGGTGAAAACGAGAAACGGTGATAATCAGTTATTGTTAATGAATATAGATTTATGATATGTTTTTATGTTACTGATTATGCATGGAATTGTGATCTGTATGATGTTATGGTCTTTATACGTTGTTTTCACAGGTTCTCCAATGGTAAAAAAAAAAAAAGGTAAATAGTTTTATTTTAAATAAATGTATTGATTTAAAATTTGTGCTCCATTAGTTGTTTTTTGTTTTCTACCAACATTTACTTATGTGACGATGATATAGTATGATGTCTTTACTGTGCTAGTGTACCTCATTCCTTATTTAACTATTTCAGATCAAGAGGATCTGGTTCCCGAGCCCCATCCATAAGAAGACGTTGAGTAAATGCTAGATGCTTTATAGTTTCTTTTATTTTCTCATTTCTCGTATTTTTTTCAGATAACTTATTCCGTAATGTTGTTTAGTACTTTTAATTTATTATGCAATGGGTGTTAACCTTAATATTTTATTTCGCTTCCGTACTCAGATTATTATATGTATTTCCTTTTGAATTTCCAGGATTGTTACAATATTATACGTGATTCGATAAGGCAATGACAAATATAAAAGACTCGAATGTTAATATATAATTTTTTTCAGTTTTAGTATTAAATTTTATTTTAGAATATAATTAAAATATTTGAATCAATAAGTATATTTTTATCATTAATATAATTTATTAAGATCTATATGATAATGTTGTTAAATAATTAAGATATGCATATATAATTAAAAAAATAATTTATTAAATCAGTTCTTAAAATTTAACTTTTTTTTATAATTTAATTAATAATTTTTATTGAATAAAAATTTACACCAAATATGTTTTATTTGTCTTACATGGACAAATTTCAAATGAGTATGAGGTTTGAATAATTATATAGTCGATACTTATTCCAATTAGACCTACCTAAAATCGATTAGTTAGATTGGATTGGACAAAGAAAATCGAGTCATCAAGCTTGTCTTATTATAATCCAAACAAAAAGTTTTAAAAACGAACAAACAAAATGATAATAAGATTTTAATAAAAAATATATTTTAATACAATGTAATATATATATATATATATATTTATTTTTGTGTTAGAAACCCCTACACTTAGCCCACGGAGCCACTTTCCCAAATCAGCCCGTTTCAGACTGGATGGGGCAAGTGGGTCGGGCCGCCTTAAAGAAAGAATCCTCTAATGAAAACGCATGGTAGCTTGGAGATCTCATGGAGTTGCTCCATAATTTATATCAGAATCGCGCGGGTTTCACTTGATAGCCACAAAAGTCGGAATCGATTTGTGCAGAAATGGCGATATCCAACTTCGCAGTCTCTATCTCTCTTGGCTGCAAACCTGTCGAATCTTTATCGATAATCTCCATCAAACCACGCTCCACGTTAGTGTTGATTGTTTAATTTGCGCTTGATTCATCGGTTACTCTTTGAACTCGTAAAAATTCAGGTTAGATTATCGCTCGAATAATGTAATAGTTTTGCTCTCAACAGATTCAATTCGAGAAGAGCTCCTCGGCTAATCAGAATATCATGTGATTACTTTCGCTTCGAAGTGAGTCTCTATGTCGTTGTTTATGTTTTTTTTTCCTTCAGTTGTATATAGTTTTAAAGAACATACATACACATTTATTTACACATATATATGTGTGTTTATATATGTATTTATGTATGTAATGATTGTTTTCATAATTTATATCGCGCTGATGTAGACTAACTGCGCAAGGTTCAATATATTCTTCACTCTTTTCATCAGCAAGTATGAACAGCTTGGTTATTGTAATTGAATGAAAGGAAGTATTCTAGTTTTTGAAAATTTCTACAATGCCTTACTTATAGGTTAAGAATGTTTCCTATCGACCTCCCGGTACTGAGCTCAATCTCTTGAATGGAGTTAGCTTTTGCCTTCATGAGAGAAGGTAAAAAAAATGTTTGTGGTTTTGATTTACTGTTGGATATTGGAACTCCACAATGGTGCTCGAAATTGGATTTGCATTCATTTATTCAGCTTGTTTTAAACAGTTTATCTTGTGGCAAAATCATTGGCATATTTATGTATCTGGTATAGGAGACGATTGATTTGTGGGTGCGTTAATTACTTTTGATCAAATTGTTTTATATGATGTTGGAGTGGAAGTCCCTACATTTTTTTCGTCTCCTGTGGAAATGCTAGCCATGCTGTGTTAGCAGTTGACATTTTGGGGTCTCGTAGGTGTCACCTCGCACCCCACTTTCCTCCAAATATCAAGGCATTTGTTCTTCTCTCAGCAATGTTAGTAGGAGGAAGGAAATGTGAGGATGTTGTTGCTTATTTATTGTGATCATTTTTCTCCTTCTAAGCATCTTTGGGATTGGCTGTCTTTTTATGGCGTCTCTTCGGGCCAAGGCGCATGGGAATTTTAAAGATTTTTGTTTCACTATTTTACACAAGATTGGGTGGCTAATTTGCATTGAATCTTCTCATTTTATGTTTCTTACCTTTTTACCTATTGCCTTTTGTTAGGATATGTAATCCTTAATCACTGAATTTTCCTTCCTTCTTCTGATAGTAGTTATTTCTCTATTTAAAGAAAAAAAGCTTGGACTGGCTTATTTTGTTGCCAATTTTGAAGGAAAAAAGCTTGAGTATTTGGATACATTTTCAAAATGACTAAAAGGTATATGTAAAGTGGGAGAAAAAAAAACAAAACAAAGAAAACTGGTGAGACTTAGAATTTTTGACATGGCACTAAGTGAAAAATAGAAAGCTCATTGGCAACCCCTTTAGACCAAAATACCCTCAACTAATCTTTAAGATTACATTTAACTAAAAAGATCAATATATATTTTCTTTTTCAAATTTACTAAATTTTCAACGTTAAGTTTTGGTTTCACCAAATTCTTTATAGCTTATCAGATATTACAAACTTATAAAAATATCGGATAGCCTTATTTTTTTAGCTTAAAGCTCGTCAAAACTTAAAATTTTACGAGTGTAAAGCACAAAAAAAAAAAAAAGAAAAACCAAATGTGTTCTATATATTTGATCTAAATTTGGTTTACCTGTCTCCATGACTAAATTGTAAATGAAATTTCTGCAGTTTTGGCTTAATTTTTGGAAAGAGTGGAAGCGGAAAAACTACTCTCTTGCAGGTTCATTTCCCTATTAGTGTTTTATCTTATAGATTCTCGTCAAACTCACTTCATTTTCCCCTTGCACAACGTCTAATTTCCCCTCCCTACTTCAGCTTCTTGCAGGGCTAATCAAACCAATATCAGGTTCCATTTGCATCCAAACATATGGATATGATGGCAAACCAAAACTTTCTCCAGAATTATTGGCTCCAGAAAGAGTTGGCATTGTCTTTCAGTTTCCCGAGAGGTAGAAAATACTGATTCTCATGTGTTTGTGTCTTCTATTCACAAGAACAGTAGGTCTGTAAAAGTAAGTGAATTTGTGACTTTCTTGTTTTAAATGAATGCTGCAGCTCACATTACACATTTACTGAACTGTATGCTTTAATATCACCAACTTTTAATTTGTCAATGTACTTTCTTTATCTTCATCCCTAGATTGAACGGGATTCTAGTTTATTTTGTCAGCTTACAAGACATCATACTGCTCATGTTTGTTTTCGTTAAGTTAGTCAGCAATGTTACTGTTGCAAGATGAAGGCACCACAGAGGATTGCTTTCTTTGCTTGGGAAGTAAGCAGGGAGTGCATTTGACAATTAACAACTTGAAGAGGAGGGGGAGGGTTATGGTTACCTGGTGTTCTTTATGTAAGAGGGCTGAGGAGTCTTGCAATCATTTGCTCATTTTGTGTCCGGTGGTGTATATGTTATGGTCTTCGGTGTATGGGTTGTTAGGTGTTAAGTGGGTCATGGCCAGATCTGTGAAAGAAGAGTTATGGGCATGGAAAGGCTTGGCTGCAAAAAAAAGATGGTTAGGCTTAGTTTCTTTGGCAGTTTTTGGGGTGGTGTAGAAGGAGAGAAACAGAAAAGTGTTTGAAGGGATTGAAGAGGGTATGAACAGGATTCATGAAAGATGGTTACATACTCTTAGCACTATGATTAGGGTTAAACAGATTGACTATTTGGAAGAATTAGGAGAGTTAATTGATATAATCACAGAAATGTAAATAATTTTGTACATGGGTGGCACCACCTTGGTGCCTATACAAAATGATACTTTCTTCTTTTTATTTCTAAAAAAAGGCAAGGTTACGGTTGTAGATAAATAATAAAGTTGAACTATTAATGGTAGTTGGATACCTGACCCAAAATTTCCCATTTATTAGAGTTAAATGTTAAGAGTTCGAAAACTGATCGTCTTATTTATATTAAAAAGTAAATTTAGCACAACATATGAATGGCTCGATGCTTCGTTCATTCCTTAAACTTGACAGGCTTGTGTGCAACGGAGTGTTGGAGTATGTAAATAGATACTGAAGTTGGGACCTTTAACATGTTTTATGGTATCAAAATTTTGGGATAAATTCGTCCCCCAAAATTTTCCCCTTTTTTACTAGAGAGTTTAAAGTTTACTATGTTAAAGCATAGGAAATGCTGGCTAAAGATTACAGTGTGCAATGTATGCATTTGGCAAGGGAAGGGAGTAGATATCTAGATTGGCTCATCAACTTTGTTCAGAAGCTCATGAGATTTGTTCACAGTGAAATTTGTGGCATTGCTTGGTTAGGTCTAGTTAGGATCTCATTCCTTTTCCTCTTGTATAAAGAAAAAGCAATCTGCTAACCTCATGTATTCATTATAGAACCGTGCTTGTTTTGCTTATGTCTTCTGTTTGATAAATTTGCAAGATTTTATTCTGTCTGTTGTTACAAGGTAATTTGAGGCAGTTGATGTCCATGACAAAGTTATTTTCAGACGGCCTATGCAAAGGGCTGGCATTTAATCAAGAGCATCTATCATTGAATCTTATAAAAATGTGCTAGGTTCTGTTTTTTGTTTGTTGAATTTCTAAAACTGGTCTGTTTATCACACTAGGTACTTTGTGGCAGATAATGTTCTTGAAGAAGTTGTTTTTGGATGGCCGAGGCAAAGGGCTAGCATTCAGTTAAAAGAGCATCTGGCATTGAATCTCCAAAGAGCTATTAATTGGGTATGTGTCTTATGTATCTTGAACAATATCCCCTGTTCTTTTGTGGCATTATTTTCTTTTCATCTATTTCACTTCCCTTTCAAATGATATCCTAGGTTGGATTGGATAGAATCTCCTTGGATAAAGATCCTCAGTCATTGAGTGGGGGCTACAAACGTCGGCTTGCTTTGGCTATTCAATTAGTAAGAATCTATATATTATTCTACAATGAAGTTTGATAAACAAACACCAGAACACAATATTTTTGTTAAAGATCAATGCTTATATTCTGTTCATAATGATATGAATTATCACTGGCTATTGTTATTCAGGTGCAAACTCCAGATTTATTGATATTGGATGAGCCCCTCGCTGGTCTTGGTATGAAGTTAAAGTTTGGTTTCTTCATTTTATGTTATTGATGGGGTCTATTTTTATATTCCATGAGCACATTATATGGGCTATATTCAAAATTGATCAGGCAGACATATGTGCCATATTGCCACTTGATAGCCGGCCAAGAAAGATATGAATCCTTCAAAAATTATATTCATACAAGACAGTTTGTAACAATTTTGAGACTTTTTTGCAACAATTTTTTTTGGAAAGGACTTTTTTGCAATAAGTATTATGCAACTAACTGAAAAAACTTACTTTTTGAGCACCAAACTGAAGAAATCAACTCTAACACCCCTTGATGATGTTATGCTCCTCATCTAGTTTTTTAAATTTTTGGTCACCATGGAGGTTTTTTTTTGCCTGCTGCAATTAAAGCTACTTCTCTGGAAAATCTACTTTACATTGAGTAAGAAAAGACCAGCTTTATTTAGGAAGTAGTCTAGAATGTTTAACTGCTTTTATAAAATCTATGCTTAAGCATCCTTTATATATCTCCATATATCCGATGTCATTATTGACCAATAAATTTGCACACCATTGTATCATTTATTTTCAATACATTACTAATTCCACTCTTCACATCCAATTGGAAAGCACGTGCANAGAAAGAATTGACTATACTTGTTGTCAGTCATGACCTTAAGTAAGTTCACCTTCCTTATTCTGATGAATATTGTTAGTATATGTTTTCATTTTCTCATCTAGTATGTTGTCACTTGCATGGTTGTGGTGCTGCAGCATTTGAAGACCAAACATGATATCTTTGTGTCTGGTTCCCTCATCAATTTAAAGCAAAGAACAATTTGCTTTTGGTTGTAATTTCCCTTTTATTCGTATTGGGATTGATTTCTTACCAATTTACTGTTTGCTTATTGTGAATATGTTGGTTAGTATGTATAGGAGTCACTATCAGGGATTTGAAATGGAGTTGCACTGACTACTAACTGTTGCATTAGGAAATATTCTTGTAATAGTTATTTAATTTTGCCCGCCCTCTTATGTCTTTGCACTTATTGTCAATGGTACGTCTGAATTGTGGTTTTGTGATTCTTGGCATGTTAGACAAGATGACCTTTTTACCCTGTTCCTATTTACAATGTGGTTGATGTCCATAGCCAGATGTTAACAAGGGGATCAGACAGAGGTTTGGTACCTATATATATTGGGGAGTATAAAGGTGGAGGATCTTCAATTGCAGATCATATTGTTTACTTCAGAGGATGAGAAAGCAGTCAATAATGTTCTCATGTTCATTCATGTTACCTGTGTTATTTTAATGTTACCTGTGTTATTTTAGCGAGGATTTAGGGGACCTGATAAACATTTTGTTAGACTTGTAAATATATTGTATATAGGTTACACCTCTTTGGTGCTTGTGAATATAATCCATCTTTTATCTTTTTTTAAAAAAATGTTCTCACAGTCGTTCAATTTTTTGAGTCTATCTCCAGTTTTCATATTAACTTGAATAAGAGCAACCTTGCAAGTATTAATATGGGTGATATTGTCACTGTTACTTTCCAAGGCTTTTTGATGTGTTTGGTTATCTTGGCCCATTACTTATCTAGGTCTCCTTTTGGGAGATAATTCTAGGCTGGAATATTTCTTGGATGAGGTGGTCGATAGGGTTTTTAGATGGCTTAAGTGCTGGAAGGGTAGTCTTTTCTCTCTTGGAGGTGGAGTCACTCTTATCCTAGCTTGTCTTTGTAGTATTTTGTTGTAATATCTTTTCTTGTTTAGGATGACTGAGAGTATGGAGAATATATAGAGGGTTATAAGGAGGTTTTTGTAGTCTGGTACATGCAACAATTTGAGGTCACTTGGAGGATAGAAGAGGGGTCAATTATCTAGAGGAAGGCAATGCTCATCAAGAATTCTCTGGGCAACCTCCCCTCTCTATATGTTTTTGTTGACCATTCTGAAGAGTGTGGATAAGAGGCTGGAGGTTTTACATAGTAGATTCCTATGGGGTAACAAGGAGGAGTGTTGGAGGTATCGTTTAGTGGCATAGAGCGAGATCACTAAGTCTTTATTTCTTGGTGGTTTGGGTTTGCGTTCCTTATGAGAGATGAATGAGGCGTTACTGGCTAAATGACTGGAGATTTTTGACCGAGGAAGATGCTTTGTGGAGAATAATAACTGCAACAAAATTTGAGATTGTGGAAGATCATCCAAAGAAAAGTCAACTTCTACGAGTGTATAAAGTGAAAGGTGGGAAGAGGAAATATAGTGAGGTTTTGGGAGGATATTTGGATGGAAGGGGATACTTTCATGGCACGTTTCCCATAGATTTATGCAATAGCACAACAAAAAAAAATAAGACCTGCGACTCTCTTGTGGTGAATAATGGTTGGAAGGAAGGAGAGGCAGGTCTTGGTATTGAGATTTCTTAATGATTAGCAGACTGGTGAATATGAGGAGTTATTTCAGAAATTATCTTGCATATCACTGGATGACAGTACTGACTCTCCCCTTTGAAGTCTTACACACAACGAGTCTTTTTCGGTTAAATCTTTCTATAGAAAGCTGTACAAGTACAGTGATGATGGTACTCGCTTTTCTGTCAAGCAGATATGGAAGACCAGAATTCCTTCCTCCTCCCGGATCTCTTTTTTCGCTCGGGAGGCTAGTAGAGAATGTTTCTTGACCATTGACAACCTGAAGAAAAAGGAAAAGATCTTGGTTAATGTCTGTTTTCTCTGTAAGAAGGATGAGGAGACTTGTAAGCACGTGTTACTGCATTGTCCGATGGCTTACAAGCTATAGACTATTGTTTATGGGCTGTTGGGTATAAGTTGGGTGATGGCAAGTTCCATGAGGGAAGAAATTTGGGCATGGAAGGGCATTAGAGCCTGGAGAAAACAGATGGACTTTATCCTGCTCACTATCTTTTGGGTTGTTTGGAAAGAGAAGAATAGGAGGGCTTTTAAGGAGATTGATGACTCTAATGGTTTTGACATTTTAAATAATAGATAGATACAAACTTAGAGATGGGTGGTTTACATATTTTGGGTCTTTCTTATTGGGGCATGGCATCATTAGAGATGAAGATTTTGGAGATGTCATTTATACCTTACTTCACTGTAAATCCTTGTGTATACGGGCAGTACCCCCTTTGGTGCCATTCTAATTTGTTCTTAACTTTTTCTTTAAAAAAAAAATAAAAAATAATAGATATTGTCTAACTCTTGGTCTTTTGTTATAGGGTCATCCTCTGGTTACTATGGAGGATTTTGCAGAACTTGTTGATATGTTAATATATTTGTAAATATTGTAAATAGGTTGCACACTCTTGGTGCCTATATTAATACATGATACAATTTTTATTTCCAAAAAAAAAATAAATTTGAGATCACTTGGTAAAATAAAAGTGTTTTGTGGTGCTAAGCAGGATGGTGATAGGGAATTTGATTTCAAACAATTTGTCTTTATTGGCTAAACGATTATGGCATTTGTAGCATGAACCTCATTCTTTATGGCAAATGGTGATCAAGAGTATCCATGGTATGCTTAGGAATGGATGAGATTTTATTGCTAGGAATTCCAAAACATATGGAAGTCCCTAGAAAATTATATCTCAGTATTATGACTTTTTAATTGCTTTTAGATGTTTCTAGCTGGGGAATGGATCTGATATCTTTTTTTGAGTGTACCTCATGATTGTCAAATGGCGACTCATTTTCCTTGTCTTTATTACGTTTCTCATAATTTTGTTGACCATGCAAATAGGGATGTTTCTTGGAATTTGCATTTCTTAGAAATCTGAATGGTCGGGAGTCTATGGATATGTTGTCTTGCTTAATATACCTGAGACGCATTATATCTATTTGGATTCAAATAGCAGACTTAGACCCTAGATTCTTCTGATATTTATGCCTCCAATTCTTTGTTCAGCCACCTCATTCACCACTCCAATAGCCAGAATGATCTTCTCAACTATAACCGTGGAAGGTGAAAATTTCCTTATTAGAGAGGTGCTACTTTTTCTAAGCTTTGGATTTTGTGATTGGAGCAAAATGATAGGATCTCACCTCTTCCCACCTCAGTTTCTTTTGGGATAGATTGACCTTTTTAGTGACAGTATGTAGAACAACACCTTGAAATCTGTTTTTGTAATGTAATTGTAAATGGATGGAAATGGATCTCCTCTAAGAACATGAACCTGAACCTGGTTGTACTTAATATTCAACCTGGCCAAAAAATCACATTGTCTTGGAATCTGGTTGTATATGTTGTATATGCTGCTTGACGCCATGGTAGTAACCTAGTTACTGCCATAATCCTCTAAGTTCAAAAATATACTTTGTAATTATCATCTCAGCTTGTTTCATTTTAGGAACTTCTTTCAGTAACTCAAATATCTAACATTCATTGCACTTGGGAGTAGGTTTGAGAAGCGCCATCCAAATCGTTTGAGCTGTATCAAGAATAGGATAACCATTGGTAATTTATGGTTGCATCGAATTAATCTGTCAAGACACAAGGTAATTCTTTGATTCACATCGACTAAAAGATAAATCAGTGATTGCTGGTTTCTTTTGGTCTCCCTTAATGTAGGCTTGCAGTCCCTGAGCCTGAATCCCATGCAATTAGTAGGATTAGTTTGGAGAGAGATTATCATTGAAGGATCCAGCCACTTTGTCACTACCCTATTCCTCAATGGCAGTTGACTTCTCTTCTTAAGACATGTCAGGATCGTAGAATGAAGAAAACTACAGAGAGAACGATGGCAGTGCTGCTATGATCTGTGGTCAAAATCCTTGGGGATCATTCTCTGATGCTATAGGAAGTGAGTAATTGCTAGAAAGGGTTTTAGTATTTCATAGACCCATGATGTTGTTTTACAATAATTTTGTATAGAAGATCAACCATTATAAGTCAACCCTAGGCAATTTAATTAACACCCAAGTGTTTCCTAGTATGCAACTGTTAACTGTAAATCTGTCATCTAGTATCTAAACTCAATATATTGATCATAGATTAAGCATGTTGCATCTTACTCACTGGGACTATCTAGCTGGTGACTTGAACCAAACATGCTTCAACTGAGCTTTTGATTTTGATTCAAAACAGCAGTAATTAATGATTTCCATTATCCAACCTACACTTTATTCAATGTTGCAATATATATTTGCTTCTCTTGTCATTCTGTTTTGCTTCATGCTTAAATTTTATTTCTTTTTCTTATGGTTGGGGGCAGGGGGTTCTGTGTTACTTTTTGTACTTTTTCTGATTTAATTGAATTTTTCAGGGAAATGGCAGCTTTAGTTGACCAATCTTGGAGAATGGAAATGGGTGGAGTTTTGCGGGAAGAACCTTTACCAGTTTAAGGTGGGACTCAGTTACTCACTAAACTTTATTCTTGAAAATTGAGATTGGTTTTTGGTAAAAAAAAAGAGGTCTTATCTTCCGCTGTCTCTTCTTATTTACTGGGTTCTATACTAGTTAGGATGCATTTCTGATCTTAACTTAACCAAAGGTAAAGGTACTAGGAACAAGGAGCATGAGTTCCAAGGCCAAACCTTGTTACACGACTTGCTACTAATCACCGCCAAAGTTAATTTTAAATACAAGCACTTCATAACAGGATGCTGAGATTGGATTTGGATGAGACATGCAAAGTATTATAATCACATATGCGACGATGGTCACTTATATGAAACTTGGTGCTAGAACTTTATTATCACACTGAGGAATATAAGACGAATTCCTCCTTTTATTCTGTCTCTGTCTTAAGTTTATCACCTCTTAACTTGCAGACAAAATAACTAAAACACCAATATTAGCACAATCTTATAAAGGATGAAGCCACCAAGCATCTCTTGTAGTTTCTTTCCTACAGCTCCAACACTAAGTCTGCAGTGGCAGTAACAGAAGAGAGTTAGGTGGATAGATATATCATGCTTAATGGTAGAATAAATATGTTATTGTCAATATTAATGCACTACTCTGTTGTTATAAGTATTTAGGTCCATCTTATGCCCTTAACATAATTTTTTCCCTGGACTTC